CTCGGCAGCTGGGTTTCCATCCCAGCAGCATCGTCGCAGTAATCTTGATCTGGCAGTTGCTTGTATTCTGAGTTTGTCAGGCAGACTTATGATTCGGCCAACGTGCATACTATAGGGAGGCCTGAGTAATTGCCAATACTGTTTTGGGGGTTTCTCATTATAATTGTAGTATAATCGGCCCCAAAACCCTAGTCTAAGTATTGAGGCCCCTATAGTATCCTCACATTCCCAGCGTGCAAATCTTGTTGCATGCACTCAAGGCAGATCATCACTGCCAAGATGCGAAAGGATCTGGAGTACCGCATCAGCATCCAGGATGCTGGGGTGTCTCGGCATTCTGGCACTCGCAGGGTTCAAGATGCTTCGCGTAGAGGCTGGTTGCAACGGTTGTGCTCCTTGGCGTAGCTGGAAAGCAGCAAGTTCGATGCTGCAAAGCATCTTGGACCAGTATTTTGGGAACTCATGCTCCTCTGCCTCTCAGCTGGCAATTGTTGCTTCTTTGACCGTAGTGGCAGTTAAAGCCTCTATTACCTGTATGATCATTATCGTTATCGTTGTTCATTTTGCTCTTTTTTCGAGCTGTTTCATATTTGTCTAGTTTCGTCGTCGTCGTCGTCGTCGTCGCGGTACGGCGTTCTTGCCGCGACTGTTGCCACTGTTGCTGTTGCCGCTGCTGCCTCCGCGACTAACTCTATCTTCTATCAGTATCAGTGACTCATGTTCGTGCTGGGTCAAAGTGGAGATGTGGCTTGATAGTACAACAGTGTGTAAGTAGTCTCTGCCAAATTATGCTACAAGATGATCCACTTATCAAGGCCCCCATGTTAGACCACTAGCCTCCGACCACGCTAATTATTGGACATGGGTTGCAGTTGTCTTGGAAACATGTTTTTTGGACCAACGTGGCACTTCGGCCATTGTCACCATCTTGCGATAGAGTTTCATCATTTATGAAATCGTTTCAGCAGATGCATTACCCTGTAAGATACCTGAATAAGTGGATCTTTCACGCATGCGCCCAACAACGATCCCCTTCCGTTCAGGAACTAACAGCCTTCCATGAGGTAACGTTGAACGACCTCAAGCCCATGAACTTCCTGGGCGCCGGCGCCTTCAGCACAGTGCGTTTGGTGGAGCACCGGACGCTCAGATGAGTTTAGGGTTTTTGAATATAGGAGTCGGAAGAGTTAGCAGCAGCATTGTAGTTATAGGTATTTTGGTAGTATAATGTATCCCGATACCCTCGTCTAATTGCCAAGGCCCCTAAATTAGGCTGCAGGGCAGAGCCTGAAGGCACCGAAGTTTTCCTTTGCAGAGGCAGAGAGTTTGATCTCTTCGTGTTTTCCCTGTACCAGCTGGCACAGTTTGGCAAAACTGCGTGTCAAATCGCGAGAGCGAGACAGGGTCCTCAGGAAACTGTAATTGGCAATGCGATTCAGAACTTCCTCCAGCTTTTTTTCGGGTTTTGCAGGTTTGAGGTCCAGGCTGTGAGAGGGTTTTCCGACAAACCTGGCGTCCCACAGAATGCTGAAGACATCTCTGCGAAAGCTCTGCCAGCCACTTGTACTTCTTCGTGCTTTAAATGCCGACGGCTGAGTTACGAACAAAATGCAAGCCACGAAGCCCTAGAAGCGAAGGCTTGTCTAATCCCTACCCCGAACAATTGAATCCCAACTCCTCGAAGTTTCAAGGCCCTAAAACCGAAGCCGAACAGCCGTAATCCTGCGCAGAAAGCTCCCAGGAAAACTGGTGCCAAGTATGCGCTGAAAACCTGCAAACGGACGCTAAGTGGAAAGATGCCCTCGGCCCTTCGACGGCACAGTACTCCCTCTAATAAGAATAATAAAGGTTCACTGAGCTCAATGGTTGCAAGAAAGACCAATAGGTATGCTAGTATTATTTCAAAGGCAGTAATGGTAACACTACTCGTAGCAACTAACGATGCTGAGCATAGGGCGTATTAATCAGTAAAAGGGGGTAATCATAGTAACAACATCAGCATTTAGCGACACCAAAACCGTTAATCCGAGCTCCGCGAAACATAGACTGTGCTGTCTGTTTTTGGTGCTTAGACTCTTCGTGACTTTTCGATAGTGGTCACGCGGAGATATTCACAGTGACAGGCACATGGAGTGTCGTAGTCGTTGCCTTGTCGATGTCGTTGTGTCATGAGGACGCTTAGCAGCACAACCAGCCCCTGTGCTAGTGCCGAGATAATAGCACGAATAGGAGTTGTAGTGGTAGCACAGCGGCAGCAGCAGCAGCAGCGACAGAAGGAATCGAAGTGAAGGGTGCAATTCAAACTGACACAGTAGTGCAATGACTACCATATTTATCCTTCAGCGTGTTCGTTCTCACCCTCATCGTCGTCATCACTGTCCTCATGGTCACGGCTTTGACAAGCTCCCTGATCGCCGTGGTCATCGCCCATGTCGTCCTGATCACTTCCTTGCTGTAGTCATGATCACCCTCTTTCTTTATCATCCATTTGCTGGCTCACAACGACATCATCATCACCAGCATCATACATTCTTTGTCGGCATGATCGCCCGCCTCAGGCATGAGCATCAGTCTCGCAGGCTCAGCATCTGTAGCTCCAAAGTCAGCTATACTTCGTCGACAAAGTTACGAGGTTTTTGGCTTTGTCTCCAAACCATGTTTCCGGCTATGGCTCATAAGACAGTGGTAACGCCGTTGCTGGCCACAGGAGATGCAGACAGAGTGCGACATCTTGGCGGAGAACGACCATCCGTTCATTCTGCCCCTCCCTTTCGGGGCATGGTTTGGATCGTGCAGGGGTTTCGGATTCGGAGGGTAGCATAAGGGTTGCACACAGTTCACTGGGTTGCAAACAAGTTCGAGCGGGTTTTCACATGTCTTTGAACCCTTTGTGTCTAGGACGTTGCGGTTTTTCAGGTACATGGTGGCCGTCTTTGAGACGAAGACCTGTGTTAGCATGCTCACGGAGATCCTAGCCGGAGGCACGCAGCGTTGAAACGTTCAGGTGTAGGAGTCTTCCATCCTTTGCGAGCATTGTGGAGCCAATTTCGGTCTTCAAATACTTAAAACCTGAAATCTCAAAACTCAAAAGGTCGTGAGAGAGGAGGGCTTTCGGCACAACCCTAAACCCTCAGTTCATGGCTTCAGTGGCCAACCCAGAACCCCAAATGCAAGGTACAAGAATTGCCACTCTGCAGAGCCCGAAAACGAGGAGACCCCTGCCTGTTTAGCCGAGGCCCTGAAAACCAAGACTCCAAATCCCCGGACTTATGCTCTCCACACACGATCCCCTAACCCCTAAGCAGTGCTCGCAGGCGTAATGGTATCAGTAGTATATTCAGTGTCATCCTTATCCTTATTGCTACCAGTCCTAACAGCAGCAACAGTCCAAGTTTCGCGAGATGGCCATAGCATTAGCGACAAACAACTCACACGTAGTGGTTGTGGTGGTGGTGGTGGTGGTGTTCGTGGTGTTCGTGGTGGTAGTGGTAGGCAGTGGCAGTGGCAGTAGGCGTCAGAGTGCGTCTACGCGTAGGCGTAGGAGTAGAAGTGGTAGAAGAAGAGAGGTGGCGGTTGTAGCCGTCGTCGTAGTGGTAGTCATAGTGGTCGCTGTCGTAGACGTAGTCGTAGTTGTGGCAGTCGCAGTAGTCGTCGTAGTCGTCGCATAGTACCAGTCGTAGTAGTAGTAGTAGTAGTAGTAGTAGTAGTAGTAGTAGTAGTGGTAGTGGTAGTGGTAGTGGTAGTGGTAGTGGTAGTGGTAGTGGTAGTAGTAGCAGTAGTAGTAGCACTAGCAGTAG